ATAAGAAAGGAGAGACAGAATAAAACAGCTGATGCAAAAAGGGACATAAAGGACTAGACAAGATAGAGGTCCAGTGCCATTTTTTCCTATTCCAGATTCACCTGCTCTGGTCTAACTTTGTGTGCGTGCGTGTGTGTGTGTGCAAGTGTGTGTGTGTGTGTGTGTGTGTGTGTGTGCAAGTGTGTGTGTGTGCAAGTGTGTGTGTGTGTGTATGTGTGAGTGAGTGCACGTGCAAATGTGTGTGTGCAAGTGTGTGTGTATGCACGCGCATTTGCGAGTGTACGTGTGTGTGAGTGTGTCTATTCCCCCTTCCATTCCCCAACAACTTCCAGAATCTTCCACCAGTCCTACCTTGTATCCTTGGTGTGTGACCTTCATGTGTATCTCGAAGCCCATGCCTCGTCGGAATGGGAATCCTCCGTGTGTTTCCTCCGTGCCCCAGTTACCTCCCTGCATGTGGTTCCTCACCACTTGATTCTGGTCGAAGCGAGGATTGAAGTGGAGGGCGCAGCCTTGGTTATAGGTCGGACCCACGCACAGATTCAGACTGAAACTGTTAAAAGAAACACACATCATTGACAAGCTGTTAACCGGGGGCTCCGGTGGCTAGGTAAGTAGTGAGTTTAGACTCACCCAATGTCAAGCGGGTGTCGGTGAAACGGGGATCAGATGGGTGGCCACTGGGGTGTGTCCTTGAGCAAGACACGACAGTTCTAGCTCAAAATACAGGGCGCTGCACGGTGGCGACCGACAGTGGCATGGTTGTAAACTGTTCTGTATTTGTGTAATAGTATTACTAATAGTGTGTATTTGAGTAAGTATGTATGCATGTATGTATTTATGTTTGTACGTTTTAAAGTTGAGTATTTATGTGTGTATGTTTGCTATTGTAGAACAAAGTGCCCTTCTGGAACAAATAAAAGTGTAGTTTATTATTTTTTAGTTTATTTAAAATGTTCTAAGTCTAGAAAGTAAAGATTTTCAGGAGAGAGAAAAACACAACTGTTTTATTGTTTTATTCTTTTAACAAAGCTATATTCTGTTTCGGTTTTTTTCTTGCTTTTTTTTTTTTCAATATGTAGAAATTGAATTTCAAAAAGACTGTTTCTTCAGTACAAGGAAACACAGATAAAGAAATGGCAGTAAAAAAAAAATCTGAATTTTGAGCTTGGTATCGACTTATTATAATTAATGTAGCAGCTGGCTGAGGAAATGTTTTGGTGTAAAACTGAACTTCTACAGACACAAATACATTTTGGTGCAAACTGATTCTGAAAAAGACACAAATCATTTGCGTTTTCTAAACGAGAAAGCCCTACATTTTTCTAGTTTCGCTTTTTTCCATAAGAGCCTAACCCCTGCACCAAAGATGCTAGAAATGACAGATGAGGCTCTGACTTCAAAGGCAAACTAAAAAGTGTACAATATAAAAAAAAAAAATTACATCCATTCAATTTAGATAATTAAATTTAGGATCCTGTCAGTGGATCCAACCTGAGCTGAAAGAGATACAATACCCCAGCAGAAAGACAAAGATACCCGATAAAAATTCTCCCCACTCCGGAATTGAACTTGGGCCTCCTGTGTGTAACAGTGGAGCACCCAATAGGCGGTACTCATTGGAGGATCAGCTTTGGTTTGGTTCAGTTCAGTTTCTGTCGACTTCCGGGCACACTATAAATAAACCCCTGCCTCACACCAATGACCTGACTCACGGCCCTGAAAGCAAACCTCACTGTTCTTGAAGGTCATCGTCACTTTCGTTTGGTTTATGCCATGGTGGTAGCTTTTCTCACTCTCCATGGAGGAAAATCTGGCTAGCCCCGGCGACCAAACCGAACCGATCAGACCTGATCATATCTTGTCAATGGGCACGGGGTATAACTGCCACACCACAGACGTTCATTAAGTGTATCATGGAAGTATCAAAAGATCCTGCCTGGGAAGTGTATCATGGAAGTATCAAAAGATGGTGCCTGGGAAGTATATCATGGAAGTATCAAAAGATGGTGCCTGGGAAGTGTATCATGGAAGTATTAAAAGATGGTGCCTGGGAAGTGTATCATGGAAGTATCAAAAGATCCTGTATCAGTGGATACTCACACACTGGCGCTGTGGGGCACCCGGCCGCTGATGACCACATCCGTGCCGACACTGATGCCTCCGGGGATGTGTCCCGAGTACGGGAGAACGATCTGAGGGACAGAAGGGGGATAACTGTTACAGGA